CTTCAGAATTAGTCTCAGCGCTGATTAAAGGCCCTTTTTACTATTCGTTTAGTGCATCCAGATTCAGTTTTCACTCCGATAACTTCGCTTTACAAAAGTCGACGATACAGGGACTGATCAGCTCACGACGACGAAGCATTCGCCTCCAAGTATTGGTGTGCAAAGCACTTAGAAACTGCATTTGGATACCTTCTGGAGAATCCTGCGGTCCTGACTGTGAAGTCTGGAAAATCCGGGTAACTGCCTCACGAACTCGTGCACATACTGCGCTTCAAGTATTGTCAACTCGGCCAATTGTTGAAAAGCTGATGAACAAGAAGACTGATGCATCTGAAGAAGTAAATCGCAACGGAAACAACTATGGCTGCAAAACGAGAGGAAACTCACCGAAAGCGCCATTATGGCTTCATCTCTGACCAGCGAAAGCTTGTATGAAGTAGACGTCATTCTGGAAATGAGCTCACGGGTTTCTGACGAAATGTCGTGGTCCGGGGTGTCGGCGATACTTTGTGTTGTGACCTCAACCGATAGCGGTGATGGCAGCCCCGAGTCATCGCGTGGATGTGATCTCTGACGCAGTTTTGCTTCTCGCTTCATTCGACATTGCTCTTCTGGGATCACCACTGAAAATCGTGGCCATATGTTATCGTACTACTTACAGACTTCCGATGATAGTAACGGTTCAATGGCCTTTTTTTGCTGGATCTCTCAGCATTTGAGCGTTTTGTTCAATATTTTTGCAGAGACCACTTTCTTTTCAAACCGAGCCACGTTACATTAGGCCACTAATGATTTACCTCCGCCTTGTGGGGTACTTTCGGGGGAACACAACAGAGCGCAGGTACCAACTGATAGCGATTAGGGTAAGAGCTGCTGCTACGTTATCAGACCTTATCAGAGGTCAGATTAAGCAGCATCCTCACGAGTTCATGAGCCATATTCAGGCTCCTATGGTCAGAATCCCCCTACCTCTTAGTCACTCTTCCGCAACGATCGCTACGGATGTCACTTTAACAATTCTTGATGTGATTATAACTTGATTATGGCTGACTAGATGCCTAAACGAGCAGACTCTTTAACTTGCTCATCCCCTCCCCCTATGAAAAACAAGCTGTGAAAGGAAGGCCCAGGTCCAGGTTCCTACTTTTGCTTCCTTTTTCAGAGCCGCAGTTCACGCCGACATGATATATGGCCTAGGCAAGTTGGGCCACATGCACGATCAATCACGATGTGTTGCGATTGGCAGGGGGGGGGGGAGCGTAATTAATGCGGACATCAGGTGAGCGTTGTTTGACTGGCTCCACTGTTCCTACGTTGGTCTTTTTCGACAGTCTTTCATATTTTACTGTATAATCCCTCGGCCTCGTTAGACAAAGGGCACACAATCGTTTGTTGGGGAATCGTCCAAATAGGGTGCGGAGTGGGGTGTACAGGGGGGGGGCAAAAAAAGTCATTCCGGCCGAGTCACATATGAGCGAAGTTTTCGCAGCCCAGACAGAGGAAGTGGATATGAGTACCAGGGCGGAAGATACCCAAGATCTTCCTCTATAAGCAGGAGCCGGCTGCCGCCATTCACCTTCATGTACACCAAAATATGAAGTCATCTCCAGTCGCGGTCTGAGTGAGCCGCCTTGGAATTCACGTGGCCTCCAAACAGCTGCGGAACTTCTTGAATGGAATCACTCATGGATAGCTACCTGGAGACCAGTACTCTTGATCTGCAAGACCTCAAACATCGAGACCAGCTCATCAAACGACCGGACGTGCTGTCTTGTGCGTCGCTACGGTCCAGGACATCATCTTCACCCCATTCACCAAGGCGCGGGTTGATGGTGTGGACCGGCCGTACCTGGAATGGGAAGACCGATATTTTCTTTGTAGACCCGACGACTGAAGGTGAGCGCTGGCGGTTACATCAATGTAATGAGAAGGATATCCTCTCCACATGTGGTACGCCCGTTACAATCCCTCTTTTTCTTGCGATCATCCATCTCATTCATCGCGCGCGTCTGATGGCCTTGAAACCACATATGTAAGTCTCTTTGGGTGCGTATACAATCACCTTTTATACATATATAATAACGACAGAGATTTTTGTGGAAAATACTCCCACCTTCTTCTCTGGAAAGTTATCCTACTTCGAATGGAAGGGCGTTTCGTACCTGATGAAGATGTAATATTGAAATATGTCCCCTGACCTGAACCCACTCAATTACCTAGTTCGGGCGGAGCTCAACAGGGTGGTCTACAGTGGCGGAGAAATCTCAACGATCTCGCTCAAGCTCGGTACCACATCACTTTCGCGCGGCAGCCGAAATCTCGATGGCGCTCCTCCAGAAGGCTGTGGCGGAGTATCATTATAGTATTTAATGTGCTCTTTAATATGGTAGTAAAAATGTCCGATAAAAATTTAATAAAGTGTAACTTATAGCGCCTTGAAAGTCATGGAGGCAAAATGACTTTTTTTTTTGGCCCCCCTGTATATGGTGCCAGGAGGAAGGGGGCAGGGTCGTATTACGTTTATATAAGGTGATGGTGTGAGTGACTGTTGGTGAATATCATTTTGTTTTCACCGCGTGCTAATATGCCCCGTCCATTTCGCCCTCCCCCGGCGACAGCAAAATCTTTTGGGAAAAGCTAGGGACTTTTCGGGAAATTTTCGGAAAAAAGGGCAGGAAGTTGGGGAAAATCTGAAAATTGGTAGAGGGGGTCGTATTGTCTCGCGACTTTTCCTGTTTCACATGTGCTATTTACCCCCTCTCCCCCCTCTCCCCCGTTCGACGCTCGATTCGATGAGGAACAGAAGGCCGGAGGCGGGTGGACGGTCGACAACCTCCCAAAAAAAGATGGGGTGGGGAGGATAGTCACACACTACGACTAAAATCCACGAATGATGTGCCGCTGGTTTCGATCAGCTCGATCCAAGGAGGGAGAAAGAGGGATACCAAGTGACCCACCCCTTAACGAGGTGGTACGCAACGCGATGCCAACCGAAATCCCGAACTATTTATGTGCCCTGATCGGTCGTGCACGGTATTGGTGTACAGCTGAAATAAGTGCACGCATGGTCCGCAGTTAGATAACGAATGGAATCCAGCCTAGGCTAACCAAGTTTGCCGCACCTCCGCGGTCGACTGATGACTCCAGGCTCGTCTAGAAGGACAAAGCAACCTTCATGATCACGATCCCCACGTCATGTGGATCGAATCACATTCAAAACGCCAATACTCCTCTGTATGGAAGAAAATGTGTGGTGCATCCGAAAGAGGGACTGGCCAACATTGAATGCTTCGCCCTTTATCGTTTGTTCTGGCGAACTTCACAGAGGTCTGGTGGCGAAAATGCTCAATTTATGATTCACTAAAGCACAAGAAGTTATTCCTAGCCAACACAGAAAAGGAATCGAAAAGGTACATTCTGATCTCATCCCGATCCTCATGCATTTCTCGAGGCGACAATGTTGACACTTCCTTCGCATGTACATGTCGATGTCACAGGTCTGACCAAATTTGCAGTAGTAAACGGCTTGGCGAGTTATCGAACGGCGGAAAAATCCTACAAAAAAAAGATCATGACTGTGAGAAGCGGCGATCAATACAGTCCTCAATCATGTGCGAACCGTGGCAGTGATCAGTGCGGCTGCGTTTGGCGCGGTGCCAAAGTCGTTCTGCACAAGTTGTTGAAGCGGGCAAATGACAATACTGTATTATATCCTCCGTATTACTCGTGTTCTACCACTTTTTGTCGCATACGCGTTTCAACAAAAAAGGCTGAGAACGGCTTCAACAGTGTGCACACTCATACTGGCTGACACGCCACCAGGTCCGCAATGATGAGAACTGTATGTTCAGTTGTAACCGT